AGAGCACTCGGATTGTTTGGAAAAGGATTCCTTGGAAGTTCATGCCTCAAAGATACACAAAAATTATTCTCACGAGTACAGCCCACACTTGACGAAGGGCTTTATCTATGTATAATGTTTTTTTTTTATATTTTTTTTTTTTTTTTGTTTTTTTTTTTTTGATTGGCCAGTAGAAAATGTCATGATGCCATTTCTAAACTTAGGTCTCTGGGTGGGACCCGGAAAGAAATGAGTACATACCAGAAATCAAAGGAAATAATAATAATAATAATAATAATAATAATAATAATAATAATAATAATAATAATATATAATAATAATAATAATAATATATCGGGTACATCAAGTGATGCCTGTGATGCATGCGCCAGGTGACTGATTATAAAACAGGCTGTCAGAATGGGTATATTGGTCTGTCAGAATGGGTATATTTGTGCGACATCGTCAATTTGTAGACGTGCTTCCATCTGGAATAATTTTCAAATAGTGATGTACTAAATCAAATTTAACTTTTGCTGCATTTATTTTTTTTTTTTTAATTTCATTTTCAATATATAGATAAATAGATAGGACGTTGACATATGAATCAACACTGCATGGCGAATGTCAGTTCCACGCCTCATTACCATATTCAAACAGTGAAGATAATATTGATGCGTGAAACTGAAGTCAGTCACCATGCTGTTATGGGGATTTCTATGCCCATACTGTATATCTTTAAACACTCTCTCTCTCTCTCGCCACGATACTTAGTATTCTCCCTTATCAAATTCTAAACAATACATACATACCACACACACACACACACATATATATACACACACATATATATATATATATATATATATATATATATATATATATATATATATATATATATATATATATATATATATATATATATATATATATATATATATGCGTATACATATATATATACACATATATATCATACAACTGAATATGTTAGCTCAACCACTGCTATTGAGCACTTTCAATACGCACTGCCTCATATAAAATAATATATATAAAAAAATATATATATATATATATATATATATATATATATATATATATATATATATATATATATATATATATATATATATATATCGCTCTGTACTGTTAATAAATCACGTTAAAACTGTTACTCTCTCTTTCATTTTTCTCTGTCTCGATATCTCAGTCTGAGTCTCTCTCTCTCTCTCTCTCTATCTCTCTCTATCTCTCTTCTTTCTTTTTCACTCTCGTCATTTTAAAGAAGCGACATTATAGACACCATATGGAAATAAAGGAACAAATACAAGTTTAAGGTGAGGTTTTGTTGACTAAATGCCAATACCTGTACCTAGATATCTTTTCAATTAATAATCCGTGATTTTAATTCCGTAAAAAGTAAAACTAAAACTACATTTGATAGTTTGTAATTACGTACCCCCACCACCCATAAAGCTACGTTCAAAAACTGCTCATTAGTACGTCTTTTATAATTTTGTCAAAATTCTTTAATTTATTTGACTAGTTCTAGAATCTTAAACATAACCGTAATGATAATATTAATAATATATATATATATATATATATTTTATCGCCTTGCTTGGGGTGAAATTATTAAAAAAAATAATTCGATGTTACAAGTCAACACCATGCTCTTTGATCTTATGAATTACAGCAAAACGTTAAGTCTGTTATCAGACGAAAAAATATCAGCATTTACAAACTATTTTTTTTCTATTTTGTATTTTGATATTTCCTTCATTAGCCGCCATTATTAAAATTTAATGGAACTTGTAAGATTAAATTTACACGAAATTTAAATTTGAAGACTGCTATACACAATTTGCTCTTATCTAAAACTCCTCAGCAACAGCGCTAACGTTTCCCTTATCATGTGGCTATCACAGATTTTAGAAGATTACTCATTAAATATCACATGGTGGCACCAGGTTGGTCTCACGCCAGAAATTTAAATATTCAAACGTTTACCAAATATGCCACAATCTGGATCAATTTTATAAAAGATAATCGCGCTTTGGTTTTGAAAAAAAAAAACATTCTGTAGTCACCGGTTCAAAACTTCTAAACAAATGTTTATTTTTATTTAACTGATCTCATATTCCATTTAAAATTTTGAGAAAATATTTTTCACAATTTATAAGACAGGACTTTTCTATCAATTTTATTTATATTTGATATCATATTGTTTTCTTCTTTGTGATTTACAAATTAAGTGACTTGGTTCTGCAAATATACTTTTTTCTCATTTTTGCGATCGTAGCTGTCAACAGTATATACGTTATTGATTGCTAAACGCAATGTGGACAAGTGTTATCGAAAACTTTTGCTAAATCCAACAGAAAATGGTAAATGCTTAAAACTGTTAGTATATCTATGCATTTAGCGGAGGAAAATGTCTGTAGATTATGTTCTACGTATTAAAAAACAATCAAATTTTCATTTATTTTTATTTAAACAGAACATTTGATATTATTGGATCGTTTCTGTTTTTCAAATCCTGAATGGAAAATAGCCATAATATAAATAACGACTCTTTAATTTTAGTCAGATAATTTGGTGCCCTACTTTTGTGCCAAAAATTAGCGATCTATTCTTTCTTTATTAGAAAGAATAATTTCCTTGAAATCTTGCAAATGAAACCCCCAGCTACACTGCAAAAATATTCAGCAAAAATGCCTGAAGAAGAGTCACTTAGCTTAACTTAATGCAAATCACCGAAAATGTTGCACCAATCTCCTAACTATAGTAGGTCTTTCAGTGTTCTACTAACAACTAGTGGCCGTAAGAAATCAGCACGTCGGTTGTTTCCTAAAACTATAATCGTTCAAGGCCATAGTAGTAAAGCATTAAGTAATAGTCGAACTCACTACGTTGATAAATTGTCCGGCGTTTGCTAACCATAGTTCTGCAGCAGTCAACTAAATGGGCTGAAACATCTTAAATCTGAGTCCTCTCAAGTTAATTATTTAAGCTTGCAAAATATTTGAATGTGGTTATATCGACAGGAATGTTCCAATAATGGTTTTCATACTTTTCTATTTTTATTTTCAGCATGCTTTTGATAAAAACCATTTATTTTGACAACCACTACTAAAATAACTGAAGAAATTCAAGTCTTTACGGTTAACTTCAGTTTGCTTTGGAATTAAAAGATATTAAAAAAGATTCGGGTCAAGTATTGACTCAAGATGAAATGAAAACATATTTTGTCTCGTGCAACGGCAATGTTTGAATTCTCATTTTAGATTTAAAATGAATTAAGAAAATTCTTCCTTTTTATAAAATGAATGAAAAACACTCTTTTTCATAAAATGAATGAAAAATTAGTCCTTGCTATATAATGAATAAAAACAAATTGAAAAAATGTTCCTTGTTATTAAATGAAAAAGGAATAATATATTTTATTTTTATGAGAAGACCGAAAAAATGGATGAAAATATATTCCTGGTTATAATATGAATGGAAAACTCTTTCTCGTTATAAAATGATTTTTAAAAAATTCTTCCTCGTTATAAAATGATTTTAACCATTCTTCCTTGTTATAAAAGGATTTTAAAAATTCTTCCTCATTATAAAAGGACTTTTTAAAATTATCCTCGTTATAAAATGATATTTTAAATTTTTTCTCATCTATAAAATGAAAAGAAAATACTCTTGTGATAATAAAAAATATTCCGTATTAAAACATAAAGCAAAAAATTATCCTTGTTATAAAATGATATTTTAAAATTCGTCTTATCTATAAAATGAAAGGAAAATATTCTTTCTTGTTATAAGGAAATAAACAATTCCTCCTTTATATTAAATGAACGAAAAATATTATTTCTTGCAATAAAATGAATGAGAAAATCTTTGCTTTAGAAAACATTTCCTTCCTTTTCTGTTTTTCTTTGCAGATTTATTCTTTCAGGAAAAATTGGATACATGAAATAACAAAAAGCTCACATCATAATCGGCAGAGTTATTTTTTTTATTCTGCTTCTCTATAAATATAGATAAAAAACATAAAGACATGTGTATGACTGAAGGCGAAAAAATATATCCTAAGATTCCGATATAAAATTTTATCCAATTATGAACATCTCCCAACTTAATTTTAATTATTTCTTTTCGTTTTTGATTTCAACAAGGATGGTGTATTTTCGTCGTTTGTTTCTTTAGAACGACAATTATTACAATAATTATCAATTAAATAAATCTTCAACTTTGTCAACTTTGCATATTTTGTGAGTGGATTTTTCTTACGATTTTAATTCCAGCATTTTGTTAATTGTTCACAGGTTTATAAAATCACGTTTTATAATTTTACTTTGCCCAAAACATTCACAGACACCTACTAGTTGTCCATTAATGACAGTGATTTTAATTGTTTCACAGCAGAATTGTAGCGGAATTAAATTTTAAATGAAATATCACTGATCCTTTTTACAGGCAATTTTTGGATTTGCAACAGAGAGGATTGCCTTTTCAGGCAATGGCAGAAAATTCGATTTTAAGAAAATAACATAAAAAAGAAAAGAAATTCGCCATGATACGATATTTAATAAAGGCTAACAATAAAAACGCTTCAAAATAGGGCGGAGCTGAAGAATGCAATTTTAGATAACCATATTGGCAATATTTCGATATAGATATACCATCGATTCAACTGTGTACAATTGTATTAAGAAAACGAAATTCAAGTTATTTTTTCGTTTTTGGAATGCATTTAGAAATCTACGGTCACTAAAACGAACAGGTAATTAAAAAATTATACCCATAAGCTAGTGAAACATAGATATATAGGTACGAAGCTTTGTACAGGAACACACACACACAAACACGCCGGCATACACATCAAATAACACCCAC